AAGCTTGGAGGACTCACACTTCCTGGTTTCAAAGCTTACTGAAAGATACACTCAAAACTCTGATGAAAGAAACAAAGAATAAACAATATTCTATGTTAGTGGATAGGAAGACTCAATATTGTCAAGATGTCAATTCTTCCCAGCTTGATCTGTAGATTCAATGCAATTTCCATAAAAATTCCTGCAAACATTTTGTGAACATCAAGAAACTGAGTATATGGAGAAGCAAAAGACCCAGAATAGTCATGTCACCGCTGAAGGAGAACAAAATTGGAGGACAGACTACCCGACTTCAAGAATTACTATAAAGCCATGGTAATCAAGATAGTGTGATACTGGTAAAAGAATAGACTGTCCATCAATGGAACAAAATAAAGGGCCCAGACATCACCCCACATAAATATAGTCAACTGATTTTTGATAAAAGAGCAAAGGCAATACAATGGAGAAAAGACAGCCTTTCAAGAAATAGTGCTGGAACTAGACATCCACATGAAAAAAATGAACCTAGGCACAAACTTCATTTACACTGTTCACAAAAATCATAGGCCTATATGTAAATGCAAAACTATAAAACTCCTGGAGGATATTTGGGTATGGTGATCACTTTTTAGATACAACACTAACGGCACAATATATAAGAGAAATAACTGGTAAACTGGACCTCATTAAAATTTAAATTTTCTTCCCTGGAAAAGACACTGTCAAGAGCATGACAAGACAAGCCACAGACTGGGAGAAATATTAGCTAAAGACATCTCTGATAAAGGATTGTAATCCAAAATATACAAAGAACTCTTAAAATGCAACAATAACAAACAACCCAATTTAAAAATGGATAAAAACTTGAACATGTGCCTCACCAAAGAAGATATACATAAATGTCAAATAAGAATAAGAAATGATGCTACACATTATTTGTCATTAGGGAAATGCAAAAATAACAGTGAGAACCATTATGCATCTACTAGAATGGCAAAAATCCAAAACACTGATAGCACTAAGTATTGACAAGGATGTGGAGCAACAGGAGCCCTCATTCATTGCTGGTGGGAATGCAAGATGGCACAGCCACTTTGGAAGACAGCTTGGCAATTTCTTACTAAACTAAACATACTCATGTGAATCAGTGATTGTGCTCCTTGGTAATTGCCCAAATGAGATGAACACTTATGTCTACACAAAACCTGCATGCAGATGTTTATAGCAGCTTTGTTCATAATTGCCAAAACTTAGAAGCAACCAAAATGTCCTTCAGTAGGTGAATTGATAAATAAAGGGTGGTACATCCAGACAATGGAATATTACTCTGCACTGAAAATGAGCTATCATGCCATGAAAAGATATGGAGGAAGCTTAAATGCACATTACTAAGTGAAAAAAGCAAATCTAGAAAGGCTACATACTGTTTGATTCCAACTATGAATTTCTGGAAAAGGCAAAGCTGGAGAGAGAGTAAAAACTCAGAGGTTTCCAGTGTGGGGGCAGGGTTGCAGGGGAGCAGGGAAAGGGCAGCAGAGGGCAGCCAGGCCAGCAGGACAAGTATTTGTTTGCTTATTCATAGGTATGTTTGTTTGTCGGGCAAGGTGCTCAGGAGTCCTGGGGGTGTGTAAGGGACCCTAGGTGTCCAAGTGGCATCAAACTGAGGTCAGAGCTGTGAACCTATGAGGTGACTGCAGGGTGAAGCATAGGCCAGGGCAGGGGTAGGTTAAAAGTCATGAGCAAGATGGGCCATCATCATAGGTGTCTGTTTGCTTGTGCAGAAAGCTCAGGGCTGTGATTTGTGGGCATGGCATCCCTTCTGATGTGACACTCTGAGAGGGGCACACATCACTTCTGTGGCATTCTTGCCAAACATGAATAACCTCAGTCTAATCATGTGAAAATATGAGAAAAAACTAAAATACTACAGCAAGGCCATAGTCATTGTCCAATTGTCCTGGATCATAGGAGACTACGGACACATGACCCCAGATCAGATCCTGGGTCAGAAAAAGGACATTCTGGGACAGTTGCTGAAAACTGGGTAAGGTCCATACATTAATTAGTAGTCTTGGATCACTGTTACTCCCCTGGTTCAAATCAAGATACTGTTAAATAACACACTAACCTGGGAGGAGGCTGGGTGAAGGGTGTACAACATTCTTTGTACTGTGTTTGAAAACAACTTTATTGAGGTATAATTTGCATACCATAAAACTTGCCCATTTTAGAGTATGATTCAATGACTTTTACTAAATGTACCAAGTTGTGCAAACATCCCAATGTTGGGAAGAGTTAGGTTCTGTATTGCAGGGAAGCTGGACAGGGTGAAACCTAAGTCAAGAAAGCGAGCAGGTTTATTACTCTCTGAATCAGAGTGGCCCCAGCCTCTTATCTGACAGGCTCCAAGTGCAGGGTTTCTTTTTTTGTGGTTTGCAAGGGGTTCTGGCAGGGTGAGCCATGCTAATAGGCACTGATTGACAGCTCAGTAGTTACCTCTTCTTACTGGCTGGAGACACACACCTGTGGTAGTCGGATCCCTCCTCCTGCTAATGTCTGGCTTCCTGCCTGACACCTGTCATCCAGTTTTAGAACATTGACACCATGCTGTGAGCCCCAGGCTAGTGATCTGTTTTCTGTCTCTTGATTTGCCAGTTTGGAGATTTCATGTTAAGGGAATCATCCCATATGTGGTTTTGTGTGTCTGCCACAACTTAGCATGTTTTGAGGTCTGTGTACTATTTTAGTGGAACAATTGGTGAAATGCTTAGCATCTGAGTTGGGCATGCTTGCAGTGGTCTATTGTACTGAAACTGTGGGTTTTTTTCAACATAACGGTTCTGTGGGCCTTTCTAGTCCCTAGAGGTCCTTCATGAGCTCAGCTTCCAGAATGTTCCTCAGGGCCATGTAGGGACTCTAGTACAGAGGGCTTAGGCTCCAGGTCACAGAGGCTTAGGGAGGGGCTTTTTCACTTCCCTGTGATTCTTCAGGGCTTCCCAGGATGGGTGGGTGGCCTGGACCTAGAGGGCCTTAGGTTGGACCTCTGTCAGCCTGACCGGGACCTCAGAGGCTGGGAAAGCTCAGAGGGTGGGTGAGCCAACTGAGGGGTTTGAGGGGAGCTCCAGGGACTGAGCCCCCAGTTGCTGCCTGGACATCTGCCCAGGGACTTCCTCAGGAGCTGATGTTGGGCCCCAGCTTCCTGTTGCCAGGGCAGAAGGGGATAAGCTCGGAAGGAAAGATATCCAGGCCTCAGGGGAAATGAATCTGGCAGAGAGGAGAACCTGAACACCTGCAGACCCACACTCAGGCCCAAGACACACTAAGCCCAGGAGCCCCGGAGATGTGTGGTTCAGGTGACCGCCTTCCAGGCTGTGAGCAGGGGGCTGGGGTCAGGACAGGTTTCAGGGAGGAAAGGGGCTGAGTGGGCGAAGAGCAGGCTTGGGGTGTGACTGGCACCTGCTCCCTGGCACTCATCTGCTCCTTGGCCTTTGTCCCCAGCAGCTGGTTCCCTGGGGTTGATGATGGCAAAGGGCACTCACTGGGCACTGGCCAGACTATGAGAGGGGGAAAGGGGCTTTGGAGAGGCCAGCAGGCAATAAAGCCATGAGGCTGGATCGCAAGCTTGGGAGCAGCAGGCGCAGGGCTCCAGCGGTCACAAGGCCTTGACATGTGGCGGCCCTCCAGAGTGACCAGGCAGAGGGGTGCCAAAGCCTCACAGTGGCTCAGGGCCGGGTGCCATAGCTCCAGCCCTGAAGACCTGTGGCCCCTCCCTCCCACAGCCCAGCCTGCACTGTGGCCTTGCTGGCTCCTGCCTGTGCTTGTCTACCAGTCTGACTCTGCCGCCACCAAAAACCCACCTCCAACCAGCCTGAGCCAAAAGGAGAAGTGGCCGCTGTATTATAAAACAGAAAGTCTGGCCAGCCAGGGGGTGTTCCAGGCAAGGTGGCCCCAGGGTTCCAGGACCTGAGCCACCTCACTCCTCACAGCTGTGTGGCCCTGTGTTGGCTCCATCCTCTTCAGGGTGGCCAATGGCCCTAGATACCCTCAGAAATCTCCATCCCCACTCAGGGCTCCATTTCCCAAATTTCTAAGGAAATTTCCAGAACTGCGTCTCCCTGGCTTAAGTCAGTCTTAGCTCACAGTCAATTTTGGCCCACATGTCCTTCCCACAGGCCTGTGAGGGAGGGAGGCAACTGCGCCCAGACCACAGGCCCAGAGTGTAGAAAGGTGGGCCTCCGAGGAAGGATGCCAGGCAGTCAGAAATGGCAGGTCCAGCATCAGAGGCCCAGAAGACCACGGGCCAAGCCATGGTGAGTGGGCTGACCCACCCTGCCAGGTCAGCCAGGTGGTCTTCAAGATGGCTCGTGTGCCTGGAGCCCAGGAAGCTGTGAGGCTGGTGGGCTACAGGTTTCCTGGAAGGGAGCTGGTACTTGGTTGTGCCCAGGGTGGGCTGGGTGCTTGCACTGCCCCGCAGAGGTGTTCATTACAAAACAGCCCTGGTTAGGGGTAGTGTACAAGTCAGGGTGTCAGGGCTGCGACCCCATGAGGATCCTGTGACCTGTGTCCAGGAGGGAAGACTGGGGCAGGGTGGGCTCGGAAGGTGGCCTCTGGGTGGATTTGAGAATGAGTGGCGGTAGAGGGGAAGTGGTGGCAGTGGGGGCTTCAGGTGGGGGGCCCGACGTTCTTGGCCAGACTCAGGACAAGGGGAAGTCTGGAAGGCCAACCGGAACTTGCTGAGGGTGCTGGGCCTGGGGGAGGGACACTGAGTCAACATGGCAGCCTAACACAGAGGCTGGAACGTGCTGGGGGGAGCGCCTGGGCTCTGCCAGTCCAGGGCTGGGCACAGACAGGGCAAGAGTGACTGAGAGGAAGTGGCCGGGCTCTCTGCAGCCAGATGCTGTGTCCTGCTCCTGCTCCATCTGGCTCTGGTTTCCGCCCCCTTAGCCTGACCAGGCTCTTGGTGCTCTCTGGCTGTGCTCATACCCCTGCCCCACACCCCCACACTGAAAAGGGGCGGAGAGAATGGGCCACTCTTCTCCGGGGCCAGCCTCTGCGCAGCACAGGGACTGAGAAGAGCTCTGCAGCTAGTCCTGCGCCGGGGCCTGACGGAGCTGCCTGCACCATGAAAGACGAAGTGGCCCTCCTGGCCACCGTCACCCTCCTGGGAGTCCTGCTGCAAGGTGGGCAGGGCCCTGTTTGGGAGGTGGTGGGCCTCAGACCCCAGTGGCCTGCCTCTGCTCTCCAGGCCCTGGGGGTCTGCCCAGGACCCAGGCCCAGGTGAGGAGTAGGGACTGGGGCTCGCACTTTCCAGGAGTGGTAGGGAGGAAGCCCTGGGGGTGCCTGCAAGGTGAACTGTGAGACTCTGGGCAGAGACTAAGGCTGAGAGGGTGCCTGACCAAGGGGACAGGCAACAAGATGGAGAAAAGCCACTGAGGGACGACTGGGGTAGGCATGCCAAGCACCTGGCTTGGGGCAGGGGGAGTGGGCCTCAGCCAGCAAAAAGAACCCTGGAAGAGAGCAGGTAGGCATCCCCCTGTGGGAACCGGGCTTTGCCTGTGTTTTGCAAGTCAAATGAATGAGAAGCAAAGTCCTGACTCAGGGTGACCTGGCCCCTCCCGCGGGCAGGTGCCCCAGTGACTCCGCCTCCTCCCCCAACACCCAAGGGAGGGTGGAGGGGGACAGGGTGTCTCGGGGTCCCAGGCCCACACCCTGCCCTCCTCATTGAGCTGCGTGGACTCAAGGCAAACCCAGAGACGCGCGGAGACTGAAGGTCCCCTGGGGAGGGCTTCGAGGGGCGTCGTGCCAAGGTCAGCCTGGAGACAGGAGGGAAAAGGGGCGGGGCCAGACGGAGGCTGCGGGCGTCGGGGAGGCCAGACTTGACTCCCTCCCCTCTTCGCCACCAGCCTACTTCTCCCTGCGGGTGATCTCGGCACGCAGGGCCTTCCGCGTGGCGCCACCGCTCACCACCGGCCCGCCCGAGTTCGAGCGCGTCTACCGAGCACAGTGAGCGTGGGGCGGGGAGCCAGCGAGCCCGGGGCGGGGCAGGGTCCGAGGCCCCCGGCCGGCGCCCTCATGCCGCCCCGTCCCCGCCGCAGAGTGAACTGCAGCGAGTACTTCCCGCTGTTCCTCGCCACGCTCTGGGTCGCCGGCATCTTCTTTCACGAAGGTCTGGTTGCGGGCAAGGGGCCAGGTCCTGGAGCCCCGGGGGACCCGGCGCCAGCGGGCTCACCTGGCCCCCGCCCGGCCCTGCCAGGTGCGGCGGCCCTGTGCGGTCTGGTCTACCTGTTCGCGCGCCTCCGCTACTTTCAGGGCTACTCGCTGTCGGTGCAGCAAAGGTGAGAGAACCCGGCGGGGCTCCCGGGGAGACCAAGCGGCGCCCAAGAAAAGGCTGCTCGTGGGCTTGTGGGCGGGGTCTGAGCCGCCGGTGCCTGGGGACCAGGTGACTGGTGGGAGGCGGGCCTCTTTCTGGGGGCTGGTAGGCGGGCCCTGACGGAAGTGGGCGGGGTAGAGGGCGTGGCCTCCTATCGCTCCGCCCCCGCCGAGCCCCGCCCGTAGGCTTGCCCCGCTGTACGCGAGCGCGCGAGCGCTCTGGCTGCTTGTGGTGCTGGCGGCGCTCGGCCTGCTCGCCCACTTCCTCCCGGCCGCGCTGCGCTCCGCGCTACTCGGACAGCTCCGGACGCTACTGCCCAGGGCCTGAGACCCAGGACGCCCAGTCGGCAGAGCGGGAGAAGAGCCGGAGCCTCCCGGAGGATGGGGGAGGGGTGCTGGCCCCCGTCCCAGTGTCCAATTAAAAGTGACCGTGACCGGACGCCTAATGAGCTCTCTGGGTAGGAGGGGGTCGCGCACTGCGGGCTTGGAGCCTGGAAGCGTCCAGCTCCTGGCCGCAGCAGTCGGATAGGCGTTCTCGGGGTAGGACCGAGGAAGGAAAGGGGTCTCCCGCCCCTCGGGCAGGGCTCGAGCCGGTCCTCAGCCGCCAGGCGCTCAGCCGCCGGAGCTGGGTTCGCCCTACCGCCCCTCCCTGCGTTCAGCGTGCTCTTCGCCTGCCGCCGCCCCTTGCTCACCCCCAGCCGCCCTCTTCCTCCTCCCCTGGCCTTCACAACTGACACCAGGTCTCTAGAAGAGCACAGGTGTGCAGGCCGCCCTGCCGCGGAGAAGTGGGGACGACCACAAATGTGGCCAGAGTAGTCGGGATAGACTCTCAAGGAAAGGTCCGGGTGCCTTGGGGGGCCCGACCCGGGGAAGGCCTGTCCACCCGACAGAGCACCCCTAGAGAGGTGACTTAGCCAGTCGGCAGGGAGAGATTCGCAGGCAGGGCAGCAGCGTGTGCAAAGGCCCCGAGGTGTGTGGGAGACCCTAAAATGTGTCAGAAACAGGGAGGGGGTTAAGCAGGGCTTTGGGGACAGTGGACAAGGGCAGGGCTGAGACCCATGAAGGAGGATGAGGTGGCGGATGCCTTCGGCAGTTGGGACAGAATGATGGGAGCTAAGAGAGCGCACTTAGGGTAGGGGGTGGGGTGGGGGGCTGGCTTTCAGCGATGGGATATGGACCGGACTCCACGCCGGGAGGCAGGGGGGACACGAGGGCAAGCGGAGCTGGGGGGAGGTGGAGGTGGCGCCCAGAGGTGGCGCTCACTGGTGGTATGGCCTGGCCTCCCCCACCAGCAGGAGGGAGCTCCCAGCACTCACACGGGAGGCACACAGTTCATTAACCCTTTATTACAAGTCACGCTCTTATAGAAGTATATGTGGACTTACGTGAAAAAATCAAATGTATCCAAGAATAAAAAACACAGCACATGTAGTAGTATATGCATTCCAGTGTTCGCGCCGGAGCAGCAGGCGCCCAGGAAAAGCTCTTCTAAAACAACCTGGCTCCAGCCGGCAGCAGCGGGCGGTTCCGGGCAGCATGGGCCAGCCTCAGGCACAGTGTGGGGGCCGCCTGCCTCCTCCCGCGGCCAGGCGGGCGGGGGCAGCACCAGCTCCTGGGACCTCCGGGCCAGCAGCGACCCCAGGCCAGCGAGCATGGCACCAGGCAGACCCTTCAAACTGGGCGGCCGCTCCTGGCTCTCTGGGGGCAGCAGCGACAACCTCCCAGGTCTCGGGGGGCTTCAGGGCCAGCCGAAGTGCATCCTCAGAAGCCCTCGGCTTAGTCAGCCTTTTTCAGGAAGATCTGGAGAGGCCAGGCTCAGAGTCAGCTGGGGAGCTCTGTCTACCCCCCAACCCCCCACTGGCCGTCAGAACAGCTCCTCATCCAGCCCTGCCTCACCTCACTCAGAATGACCCACACTGGAGAGTCTGTCTGGATGGAGAGGCGTAGGGCTTCCAGGGGCCCGAAGGCAGGGTCCACCTCCCCTTCTGCCACACCCTTGTAGAAGGAGCCTGGGGGAGGGCAGCACTGAGAGGGTGCCCCAAGGCCCCAGCCCAGCCCAGCCTCTCCCCTACCCACCCCCACCTGCTCCCAGCTCACCAATCTGGAGGTAGCCATCTGGGCTCCGGGGATACCGCAGGGTGGCTGAGCGGCCTTCTTGCAGGGCCTCCTTGTCAGACTGGGGGTTCTGGGGGCAAAACCCTGGACTGAAGCCAGCTGCTGTGGAGGGCTGGGCCTCAGGGCACACCCGCGCCCTACCACACTCACGTCAAAGGGCAGCACCTCCACAGATGTGTTGAAGAGCTTGTCCTCTGGGTGCTCGATGTTCCCGCTGCGAAAGAAGAACCTGTGGCCAGAGGGGCCTGTGAGCTGCCGCAGGAGTGAAGCATGGCGCTGCACGCTGCCCAGCAGAGGAGACACCCGAACCTGGGCCAGGAGTGCAAGAGGGGCCCTGGGGTGCTTGCTGGGCAGGCTGGACACCACTGGGGGCAATCTCTGGGCCATGGCAACCAGGGCCTTATCTGTAGGGATGATGGTGACATGGGCGCTGCCTGACAGTCTTTACAAGGCAGCTACCGCCATGAGCCCCATGTTTCAGGTAAAGAGATGGAGGCAATGCTGAGGTTAGGTAATGGGCTGGCGGTCACTGAGGGGCACCTGCAGGCCCAGACATCTGTGGGGAGCCTGCCCCCTGGTAGCCACCCTGCCCTCCTCCATGGTGCTGGCACTGACCGCTCCAGGCGCAGCGGCTGGAAGAAGCGGAAGCGGATGAAGTCCCCTGCAGCAGGCGTGAAGGCCCAGAAGAAATCCTCCCGGAGATAGGCCTTCTCCAGGGTGAAGTGCTGGTAGGTCTTGAGGCTTGTGCTCACCTCCGCTGGCGGGTTCACGTGCTCCTTCCGCAGTGCCTGCTTCCCAAAGTCCTTGTCCTGCAGCCGAGGGACAGCAGTGCTGGAGCAGACCCTGGGCCTGCCCTGCCGCCCCCTGCCCTGCCTCACCCCAGGCTCTGCCTGTACTTGGCAGGGCTCCGGGACAGCACAGCCCACCTTCAGTTTCTGGATCTTGCCCGCCAGCGAGGAGTGAGTGCCCACATGCTGGAAGAGGGATGGCTTGAAGCGGATCCGCAGGTTGGCCTTCTGCCGGTCACAGTGCTTCTGCGGAAGGAGGTGACAGCCTAGGGCTCAGCTCAGCATTGCCTCCCAGGACAGCATTTCTCCTTGTGCCAGGCGTGTGGATGCTGACACGGTCCCTGCTGGAGGCTGCACCCCGCAAGGCCCCCCACCTGTTCCTGTGCAGCCCTGCTCACCGCGTCCTTCTCGGGGTTGCAGACTTTCACCCACAAGATATGGTCCAGGAGCCAGTCGATGGGCTTGTCCCGGTAGAACATGAGGATGAACTCCACAATCAGGCTCAGGTCCAGCGACTTGAACATCTTTCCTGGAAGCGGGAATGAGGGGAAGGGGTGCTCAATGGGCAGATCTGCCCTGCCCTTTGTCCTTACTCCCTGTGGGGGCCACTGGGGAGGGACCTCACAAACCCTGTGGATGGCTGCAGGCAGGTGCGGGCACAGGGGGCAGACAGGGATGGTGAGCTGCAACCTCTCCTCACAGAGGATGGGTGGCAACAGGCCAGGATGGGCTGCAGCAGGCACCTCAGGCCAAGCTCAGAAAAGTACCCTGGGTAGTACTGGGGCCTGGGAACAGGGCAGAGCTGAAAGATGAGGACAGAAAGGCAGAAGGGGGCTGACTGTGGGGCTCTGGCCAGGTGGGGGGTGGGGGGGGGGCACACCAATGAAGCCCAGCTGAGAGAACTCCAGGATCATCCAGTCCTCGGAGGGCTGCTGGAGTGCGAAGTTCTTCATGGTGCTCAGGTAGTTGGGCTTGGCCACAATGTCATCCTCCAGCTGCACCACAGTGGGTAGAAGGGGCTGCGACTCAGGGTGGGCACAGGGGCAGGGCAGGCCTCACCACCCAGGCCCAGCCAGGGCCCGGGGCCATTGGGGCAGGGCGGGTCTCAGCGCTGACCTGCACGTAGTAGATGCCTTTGGACTGTGCGTACATCATAAGGAAGCAGTAATCGAGGTTCTGTTTGGTCCTCCACCTGCAGGCCAGGGGCAGGGGCCTCAGGAGCTCAGACTCCCCTCGATACACACACAGTGTGACCACAGCAGAGGCCACAGAGTGAACATGCTCTCCTCCCCACCCCATGCAGGGGTCTGTAGGGAAGTGCTTGGGACTCAGGCACAGACAGACTGGGTTCTTGGCACAGGGGACAGGCTGCTGGGCATATGGGGATGGGTTAGTGCTAGTACCTGACTCTCTCCTTGGGGTCCCCAAAGGACTCTCGGAGGCGGGAGAAGTCAGGGTAGAAGTGGGGGGAAGGGGAGATGACCTCCAGGAGCCCGGAATGGATCTCCATGGGGAACCTGGGGGACAGGAAGGCCCTGTGGATGTGCAGCTTCCAGGCACCACAGCAGGGGCAGAACTGAGCTAACCAGACCATAACCCTTTCTTAAGGCCCACGGGGCAGACATCCCCTGACGCCACACCCATCCTCCTTTAGCAGTGAGGCTCCTGAGGGGCTCGGCCACCTCTATCTGCCCACCCCCTTTCAGCCAAGAGGGGAAGCAGCCTTTCCCACAAGGAAAAAGAACCATTTAGTGGGGAAGCCGGCACTTGCCTGCCCCACACCCCGCAAAGGGCCCTGCCTCCACCGGCTTTGTCAGGCTGTCAGTACTCACAAGGCTTTTATGTTCTCTGTCACCACCGAGGTGTACTGTGGATCAGTCTGTGGGGAGACCAAGCACCCTCCCTAAGCTGGGTTGCCACCCCAAAAGGCCTGTAAGGGGCTAGGGAAGGGAACAGGCTTCAGATGACCCTGGATACGGAGGGAGTGAGTCCCCCACCCGGAGGGCCGAGGAAGCTAAGGTGCCTCCAAAAAAGCCCTTTGTGGGATGGGATGAGGCAGACTAGGTAACTGGCGTCTCCACGAGGGGGCATCAAAACGTTTCTTTCTTTTTAACTTTTCATGCTGATAAATTTGTGAATGAAACTGACAGTTGAAATGATGAGAGCTTTTTCCTCTAGAATGTTGCTCTGCGTCCGTTTTGCCTCCTAGTTATTTTGTGCTATGTGATCCCCTCTGAATATCCCCTCCACCGCCGCACCTTGTCCCAGCACACTCGCCTCGGCGATCAGCACCACGATGACCGAGTCCTCCTTCTCCTGCGGGCTCAGCTCTGAGATGAGCGAGTGCAGCGTGTCCGTCAGGTACGAGTGCACCTCGCGCCGAACGCTGGGGATGCCCATCACCACCGACACTGCAGGAGGCGGAAGGGCGATACTGGGCGGGACGCCGGCCGGCCCCGCCCCTGCACCGGCCCCGCCCGGCCCCGCCCCTACCTCCTGTGCGGCCCTGGCTCACGCGCACCGCCGGCTGCAGGCTGCTTTCTTTGGCCAGCAGGTGAGGCAGGTGGTGGAAGACAGTGGGCAGGCGCAGCACGTGCTTGTGTGAGCCGTTCCACGGCTTCAGTCGCGGATCCTCTGGGCAGGTGGGGAAGGGACGGGTCAGACAGCGCAGCCTGCGGTCAGCCCCGGATCCCCTGCGGAGTTCCGCTTGGCGCTCACCGGTTAGGCGGCCCCAGGTGCGATTGCCGTCCGTGTCTCGCAGCGCCTGCCTCTCCGACATGGCCCTCTTGATCTCGTCCAGCACCAGGTTGAGTTCCTTGGAGCGCTTGAGGCTCTCCTGCTCGGCCGCATGCAACCGGTCACGCAGCGCCATGAACTCCCGCTGGTACACGTCCACCACATCGCCTGTGGATAGTATGAACGCTGTCACCTGGAGGCAGCCTAGAGCTGACCTACAACCCTTGAGGGTGCCAACACACATTTTCATACCCAGCTCTACGACAGCCTATCTACACCTGCTCCCGTTCTGGCCACATGCCAGCTACCTGGGGTTCCATAAGGGTCACTTGGAAGTCGCATTGACACTCACACTTTGGGGAGAATAGCCTCCACTAGGAGATTAGCCCACTCCACTGCTTTCCCCCTACCCCATTTTTTCCTCCTTTGAGGCAGCATCTGAAGTGGAAGGGCTGCAGGATCACTTCCAGCCCCAGACCGGCTCCTGTCCACCCAGTGGCTCCCAAAGCCCCCTCCTGCTTCTCCTTGCAGCATCTATCTGCTCCATTCAGGAGACAAGATTCCCAAGGTCCCATGCAGGGCACAAGGACCTCACCCTTCCACAAGGCGCTTCTTAAACTCCCAGCCTTCTTCCTGTCCATCCCCTCAGCTTCTGCACCTTGACCCCCCGACTGCCCTGCACAGGGATCAGAGCAGCCCCACCACAAGGCTCTGTGGATAGACACCCTCCCTGGAGTCCACCTCCCATCCTCCTGGTAGGCCTGAGCTCTGGGTGCCCATCTGTCACTGTCCCCAGTGGGCCCTGGTTGCTCATTTCTGCACTTGGCACCAGCTCTGAAATCTGACACCAGCCCCAACGCATGGCTGCTGCAGTAACAGCACCCACGGTTCACAGGAGCACCCTAGTCCAGGGCCACTCAGTGAGTCAGTGACAAAGAGGGGACACAGCTCTGAATGCCCTGAGGCCTTCTTCTTTGGAGACCTGTGCTAGGCTGGGGCCACCTCAGAGGGCCTGCACGTCACCTCAGGGGGCCCAATGTCAGTATCTCCAGCTGGGTACTTGCTGCATTAGGGGTGCAGGTAGGGCAGGAGCGGCACAGGTGGGGCTGCCTGGCAGTGGAGGAGAGTCCCCAGGGTGCCAAGTACCTGGCTCTATTGGTCTGGCAGTGACCCACTGACAGAGTGAGACAAACACTGTGCCTGCCTGGGGCCAGTGCAGCCAGGTCCCGCTGGGCTATGTATCTGAGGCTTTTTCCAGTCTCACCTATGCCACCCTTACTGCCCTCACATACAGCTCCTTTCCCTTGTCTAGCATCTGTGCCTTCACGTGTGTCACCTCTGTCTGGGATCCCTTTTCTCTACTGGGCCTAATGAAAACCCATGTAGCCTTCAAGGCCTAATTTCAAAGTCTAGTTTCCTAGTTTAAGAAGGCTCCCAGACCTCCCCTGCCACCACCAGGGGCTTTTCTTGTTCCTTGATCCCTGGTGTAGGTGTGGCCGCCCACAGCCCAGTGCATCAAAGGTCACAAACAAGGCAAAGGTGCCTCACCTTGGGATGCACCACCTTGCGCAGTGGGTCTAAGTGCAAAGTCCCAGGGGAAGAGGAAGGCGAGCCTCTAGGCAGGAGGAGGTGAGGTTGGCCAACCCCGCCCTCCAGACTCCGTTGGCTGCGGCCTCTTTTTGGACACCCTGCCCTGCCCAGGGCCTAAAGGCCAGGCCACGCCAAGCCTCAGAGCTTGGGGACAGCCCCTCACAAGGGAGGACAGAGAGAGTTGGGTTACAGGATCTCTGAGGCTCTGCGCTGGGTTCCGGGCTGGGTTCCCCTGGAAACCTGACCCCTTGAGCGGAGCCAGCCACCCCAACACACACCCGCCCAGCTTGGTTGGGGGGCATCAAGGCCCCAGGAGTGTTCTGGTGGCTGGAGGGGCTGAGGCCCCACAGGTGGAGTTCAAAGCTGTTTCCATGTGGCAGGTGGCCTCTCTCCTGTCTACCTGAGTCCCCGCTGCCAACCCCAGTGTGGGGAGCCTCCGAGTCCTGCAGGGGCAGCCCCTGTGCTGCTGGCCAAGCCCAAAGCAGCCCCCTGCAGTGGGACCCCTCCATGAGGGGGACAGTGGGGAAAGAGGGAGGCGTCCAGCCCATTCTGACTGCTGCCACCTCCCTAGGCCTCTCTGTTAAGCTGGCTGAGCTCTGTCCAACCTTAGCCTACCTCAGCCAGGCTGTGTGGGCAGAGGTAGGCACCAGTGCCCTGAATCATCCTGGTCACCAGGGCCTGGGACCAGCCTGCTCCATATGCTCCCTTCCCAGGGGCCTCCCTCTACCTAGATCCTGACCTTCCTGTTTACCAGGAGGTGATGTGGGCCTGGCTCTGGCCCACATAGACCTGTCATTTCCCTCAGTGCTGTAGGTTCTGTCCCTCCAGTCTGACCCTGCTGTTGCCCTGTCCACTGTTTGTAAGGTCCCCAGCTTGACCCTCATCCCTGGCTTCTCTGGTCATGGGGTCTACTCCCCTTGCTTTTGAAAGCCAGAAACTCAAACTCTGTGGCTGCCTTCCCATGGGCTTATGCCAGCGCTCTGCCAATTCCATCCTGACATCCCGCAGCCTTTGTGGGCTGGGTGGTGAGTGTGCTGGGAAGGCAGCTCAAGTTGGAAGGGTTTGCAAAGGCCTGGGGAGCACCTGGCCTCTGTGGGGTGGAGCTAAGGCAGAGCTTTTATCCATACCTTCCCAGCCCAGGGAGATGGAGGGGGGCTGGCCCAGGTTCAGGTAGCCCCAGGGAAGGACTGCAGCTGCAGACACAGCACTGGAGGTTCCCTACGCTTCCCCCCCAAGCAGCCTAATCAGGCCTCCAGAGGCCCACTGAAGATAGTCTTCCCCCTGGTTCCCTCTCAGTTGAAAAACCAGATTTAAGAGCCACACTGGGGCACAGACCTGTGACTTGTACTTAGGGAAGGGCAAACAGGCTCACAGGCAGGTGCCAGGCCCTGAGAAGATCTTCAGCTGGGACAGGCGCAGGGAGAGCAGCAGCTCTTCACCCTGTCTGCAGGCCATGCCCTGTTACTGTGGGTGGGGCTGCTGAAGCCAGGCTGCCCAGATGCTCAGGAGGACCGTGGAGGCCCCCTGGAGGGTCTGCTGTTCTCCCTGGGGACAGGCCTTCAACAGATGCTTGGCTGAGGGCTACAGTCTGAATGCTAATGGAACTGTTGTGAAAATTTGGTCAAGCTGGATATGAAAGTGGGCCCCAAACCTATATCCAGGGTCTGTTTTGCCAAGGCCTACATGTCCTTCCTGGCCCTTGGCCCTGGGCTTCTAGGATGCCTCCCTCTTCTCTGGCTTCCTGCCCACCTCCTCCCTTCCCTATAGATCTGAGCTACTCTTCCCTTCCCCTAAGAATCAGTGCCTGCGCCAGCCCTGCCCTGCGCTCCTCACTTGCTGAAAACTGGAAGCCAGGGTCTAGTCAGGCCTCAGACTGGTTTAGTCTGGCTTAGGCATGAGCTTAACACAGTCGCATACATGTAACAATGAGAAATGTTCATAGAAGAGCCCGGATTTGGGTGTCTCTTGAGGCCTCAGAAGACCTGGCCCTACTGGGCCTGCAGAAAAAATGATAGCCTTTTGACAAGGAAGGCACAGGTCACCCCATCTCATGGGCTCCTGGGCTTCCATGAGGGCCCCTGCGTCTGAGGCTTATACTTCTTTGGTTGGGGTGCTCTCCTGTTCCCCAGGCCCTTCAAGTGCCAGCCTCCTAGATGCCCCCCTCAGGAACAGTGGGCCTCAGATGAAGCTACTGGTAGCCCCCTCACTCTGCTATTCCCAGAGACTGGCTCCCTGTGGTTTGCCACGCTCCCAGAGAAGGGTCTTGCCCTCCCCACAATCTGGGCAATGTGCTCCAGCCCATTAGATATAGCCCCACCTTGGCATTCATGCCAGTTTGTTTACGTGGCCACTCTCCCAGGGTCCAAACTGCCATCCCCTCAGTGACACATTCCACCTTCAGAGAACTCTATCCCAGCTGTACCAAGCCCTAGGGATCTCCCCTCAGAGTCACTGGAGCCCTAAGGCCAGCCCAGGCCTCCACCCAAACAGGAGGACTGAGGTAGGGAGGGGCCAGGTGGGACCTTTGGAGTTTGGCACCTCTTCCCCAGCCCTCCTCCCCCAGCCTCACTTAGCACAGGGTTGGGGCACAGGGAAGCTGAAGGTGGGAAGGAGGTTGAGGGTCAGCGGGCCTCAGCCTAATCCCATTTAGGCCTCCTGCAGGAAGGCCAGGAGGCAGGAAGGAAGCAGCTCTTCCCGGCGCCTCTGGTGCTGCAGGCTGGTGGACAAGGCCTGTGCGGCCCCTCAGCCCCAGCCACTCCAACAACAAGCGACTCCAGCCACTGCTGGGCCCCAGAACGTGTGCTGGCTAGACTCAGAGGGCTCTGGTGGTGGCGGGTTAGCCTGACCAAACTTCAGGTGTGTGAGGTGGGGTTGGGGGGGTGCAGAGGCAAATAAGTTAACTGCAGCCGGCTGCTCAGGAGGCCTTCCCCCGCGTTTCCAAGGCCGCAGCCACAGGAAGGCTGTCCCAGCAGCCCAAGTCCCTGCGGAGGAATCCTGGGGCCAGGTGCCACAGAGGAGGGCTGCAGAGGCCCCAGGGGGAAGCTCCCCCAGTGCGCTGCGGTGCAGGGCACTGCCTCGCGTCTAGCTGATCCCTCACACCTGTCTCAGGAACACAGTACCTGCTCTTGTCCAGGTGTCTGGAACTCGTACTCGAGGAACCACTTAGCCACAACCACCTCTGTGACCTTGTGTCTCTGTTCCCCAACTCCGAGGTCCCCAGTTCGCCAGTGGGAGCGACCAGCCCTGGCATCGGCATAACTACTCATGGAGGCCGGTCCCGCGGTCCTGAGCGCCGCAGCGGGCACCCACCGGCCGCTCGACCCCGCGGCCCAGGCCAGGCCGGAGACTCGTTATTCGGGAAGCAAACAAGTGGGGGCGAGGAGGGGAGGGGTGCCCGCGTCGGCTTCCGGCCGCCTCCCGCGGCCACTGGCCGGACCCGCCCGGGCCGCCCGCGCCCAGGTGCGGGGTCGACTCGGGAGGCCGACGGCGGGGGAAGGGGCTCACCTTTCTGGCCGCTGAGCGCCGCGTACCAGGAGAGCGAGAGGAAGGCGCACAGGCAGAAGAGCAGCAGCGTCAGGAAGGTGCCATTGCGGAGCCTCATCTCGGGTGCGCGGCGGGCGCCGGCGGGGCCGAGGCCGCATGGCCCGGGGGACCGGGGCCCGGGCGCGGGGGCCGGGAGGCGGCGGGGGCCCCGGCCCCGGGGCGGGGAGGGCTGGGGACCCGGGGCCGGGCGGGGCTGCGGGCGGGCGGGGCCGGGTACCGGGCCGGGCTCCGCGCTGACAGATCCTCCGGGGCGCGGGGTGCGCGCGGCCTCGGCTCGGCGGCTGGGCCGGGCCGGGCCGGGCTGGGCTGGGCTGGGCGGCGAGAGCCGCGGCCCGGCCTGGATCTAGGGCCGCCGCGGAGTCGGCAGCGCAGGGCGGGGCAGCTCGGATTTAAAGGGGCCGCATCACCGGCTGCAGCCTCCAGCTCCGCGAGGGGGCGGGGTGGGGGACCAACGCCCGGGATCCCGGTCGCGTCGCTCGGGACAGCGGCCCCTGCGCCCGGGCTTCCGGCCGCCTCCGGTAGGTTGGGGCTGGGGCCTTCGCAAGTGCGGGCGCGGTGGAGGCGGCCCCCGGGCCCCTTCCTGGTAGCATCGCCATTATGACCGCCTAGCCCCGGATCCGGACCGCACCGCCGTTTACTCCGAGCCCCTCGGCCCCTTTCCCAGGTGGAGGCGGTGGGAGCGGGTTAAGTACGGCTGGAGCTGGCGTTGCCTCCAGCGGGAGACTCGGTCGCTCTGTTGCCCGTACCGACTCCCATGGGCACTTCCCCTCCAGGACTTTCTCTAGCAGGCCAGATAAAGGCGTGCTAGGCCCAGTGTGGCACTTCTGCTCGGTGAAGCAGGGATAAAGTGCCGTTACCAGGAGTGGAGGAGTCGCTGTATGTGGGTGTTGGCACGGTGACCAGCCCAGAGCGGTGTGACCTCTCGGATGCCAGGCGCGGGTGGACGGGAGGCAGGCGGGACCGCAGGGTGAGGCGGGCCGCGGCCCCTAATGGTCCCGCACTTGCTGTCCCTTCATTGCCGGGCGCTTATACCCTCATTCTTTCCCCAGTCCTCTGTGGAACCAGAACAGCAGGAACAATAAAAGTATCCGTCCAAGGGTGGGGCAAGCATTTGGAAGTGCCCTTGCCCACTTCCCTGCTCAGGCCTGGTCACAGTTCGTGAGTCCTGGTTCCCAGCCAGGCCTCCAGGGGGTAGGGGTGGGGAGCTAGTGGGAGCGGTCTTCCTGGGTGGGCTCATTGTGGAAGTCGCTGGGAATGTGTCTTCCTCTTCTGCGCAGGCCACAGCTGGGGCAGGATGGAAGCCCTGGAACAGGGTAGGGTCTGGGCATTCACCTCTGTAGAGGCATGTTTCCAGGAGCAGGTGAGGCAGTGCCAGTGGCTGAGGGCCTTCATCCTGGGACCTGAGAAATGACCTGTGCTCTTTTAGGCCTGATTCCAGAGCTGACACAGCTGCCAATGAACTTTGTGAACTGAGGCCCGGCCTTGTCAGAGCCTTCTGGAGGAAACTCTTGTTTTGTGTTCCTGTGTTTTCACAGGCCTGTCTTGGCAAGGAATAATGTTTTTTCACTGGGACTGTGATACAAAGGGTTTAAAATTTTTCCAAATGTGTATTTAACTTTCAAAGTGAATTGTTTTAAGGGAAATTATTAAACCACTAACAATTAAGGAGATGGCCGGTCAGTGACTAAAGTTTGGAAACTCATCTGAGTTCCCTCCCTTCCACACTCTGACTTTGTGGAGGAGGAGCAGGGATGAGGGAGGCCCAGGATGGGGGCAGAATTCTGCCCTGCCACCTGGAGGGTCCAGGGCCAGGAGGCAGGTGGGAGAAGGGTGGTGACTGACTGGGGAGTGTGGAGCCTGGGTGCTGGAGAGTCGGGGAGGAGCAAGCAGGAGTAGGCTGGAGAGTGACCCAGGCCGTGGAGATCAAGCAGTCTTTTCAGATACCCTGGCCAGGACACCTTTCCATGCTTTGTCTGCATGGTGCTATCAGAATCCCAGGAGGGGGTCCTCTGGGCCACCAGCCACACCAGGTCACACACACAGCACTTGGGCGGCACCACGCCTGACTGTGCTGCTTGGATTGTACCCCTGGGAAAGAAGAGATAGCCCAAACACAAGCTGGGGCTACCACCAAAAGGGGCCTGGAAGTGGGGTGGTCGTGGAGAGAGTAGAAGCCCTTAGCCCACTTTGTTTTCCTGATTTTCTGGGACACCCCTTAGAGGTGGCTCATTCTTCCACCCTTCACAGGGCTTTTTAACTGGTGATCCAGGGTTCCAGAACTGGGGAGGTCCAGGGGCTAAGGGAAAAAAAATCCATCTTTATGTTCACGAACCTGTAACAGACACTTGGTGTTTCCTTCAGTTACAAATGGAGGCAGCAAGGTCCCGTCGAAAAATTAGCAGTACTTAATGACTGTGACACAGAAATCACAGGGCTTTTCATCGCCACTCTGGGTGTTGCAGATACCTGGAAATAGCCATTGCACACTCACTACCACTTGGTGTTTCTGCTCTCTATCTTACAATTTAATGAGTTAATAAAGAACTCCAGGTGTTTCTAGATCACAAATTTGTCTTTATATTTTGATATTTGCATTTCAACCGTCCTTTTGTAATGCAATATACTTTTTTTTTGTATCAATACTCTACAATTACATGAGGAACATTGTTTACTAGACTCGTCCCGTCACCAAGTCCCCCCACATACCCCATTATAGTCACTGTCCATCAGTGTAGTAAGATGCTATAGAATCACTACTTGTCTTCTCTGTGTTGTACAGCCCTCCCTGTGCCCCCCCCACACATTATGTGTGCTAATAGTAATGTGTCCCCCCCTCCCTTTTTCCCCTTATCACTTCCTTCCCACCCATCCTCCCCAGTCCCTTTCCCGTTGGTAACTGTTAGTCCATCCTTGGGTTCCGTGAGTCTGCTGCTGTTTTGTTCCTTCAGTTTTTTTCTTTGTTCTTATACTCCACAGATGAGTGAAATCATTTGATACTTGTCTTTTTCCGCCTGGCTTATTTTACTGAGCATAATACCCTCTAGCTCCATCCATGTTGTTGCAAATGGTAGGATTTGTTTTCTTCTTACGGATGAA